AAATTTCCGGCAGAATTACGAAAATTTACGGAAAATTTACGCCGAATTTTTCACGGACGTTCAAAATTTAAACGTGAATATCTCCGCGGATATCGATGCTACAGGAATAATTTACATATCATCTTGTAGCCAAGAACCAGGGCTTTCGATCTGTCATAGAAACACCTTAGTAGAAAATCGCTTCCTGTCTCGTAAATTGCGACCAAAGTCAAAAAAATTGAATTTTTGGACGTAAATTTCCGTGAGTCCCGTCTGTGTTACGGAAATTTACACCCCGAAAAATTTTCTGATGTTGTTTAGTAATTATATCAAGTTCAGTTTCTACATTTCGGCTAGAGGGTAAATTTCTATCTTCTCTTTTCTTGATATAGTATCTTCCTACTTCGACTTTAACTACATTCTTCATGGCATCAGCCAAGATATTAGTATTTTCTAATACAATCAACATAACAATTTCTTCTTTCAAACCAGAAATATATATTCGAGTAGTATATTCTTCTGGTAATACTTTAGCAGGGTCTACTTTGGCCAATAGACGTTTAAACCTTGCAGAATATTTATCTACTCTCTTATTTTGTTCTTGTCGAATATTATACAATTCGTAATGCCATTTATTTTTATTTTCTAAGGTAGTAAAGCGTTTAAGGAAAAGGGGTTCAAAGGATCTCTCGGCATTAGTGTTGTTATTCCAATAATTGATAGTAGTATCATCGTACCATTGTGCTGCAACTCCTTTGAGATAAGTAGCAGCTATTTGTAATTTTCTATTGCTAGACCAGTTGTTAGCACTGGCAGCTCGGTTAAAGTTGACAAGCCATTCAGCAGGGTCTTCAGTGACCTTTCCATGGAACGATTCTATTGGGAACACATGTGTTTCAGATTTTATTGATTGAGCAGTTTCTTTAAATCCGTCAGTTACTTTTTTAAGGAGCTCTTTTAATTGGTCTCCTGTTAAAGTCATATTTGATTCAGTGGTGTTTGAAGAAGTCAAAGGTAGTGTAGTTCCTGAAGTACTAGTAAAAGGTTGAAGTGTATTTGTAAGTGCTGAAATAGAAGTAGGTATCTGGGGTTTATGTTGTAGTCACTTATGTTTATCGATTTGTTTTTGGAAATAGTTTATAATAGAATCTCTAACTTCTTGAAATCTTCTAGAAATTTTAGAATATACTATGCTAAAAATTAAATTTGTTATAGCAGTAAGTATGTTTGTACGTTCTTCTCCCCAAAGCTCTGTGACTAATTTGTCAGTGTATTCGATAGTTTTACTTAAATAGAATTTGGCAGAATAACTAGTGTACCAAATCCAAAATAATTTAAAGTATTCAGCAAGTTGTAGAGGTGGAGTATAACAAAGGCTACAGTAATCTTTTTGTTCAGTAACAGTACTTGAAAGGTGATGTTTTTGTTCGTGTTGTCTTGTTTCGTATTGATGTTTCTCCAATAGTTCAGTATATGTGGTCATGAACTTTTTAGTTTGGAACTTTCCAATCTCTCTTTACTTTCTTTGGGATATTAAAGAAATTTTGACCGTTGTCAATTAAAATGTTGTCTCGAATCTACACATGATGTTTAATCTGGTTCAAATGGTCTTTTACATAGTTTAAATCCTTGAGGGTATAGGTAATTTTGTAGTTAGGGTCTTTTTCTTGTCTTTCTAATTCTCGGTCAACAATTTCCTCTACTGCTTTATCTTTAAGTTCAATTGCTTTTTCTACGCAAATATTTCTTGCTTTTGCTTTCATAAATATAAAAAGAACAAGGGAAAGCTATTACTAGAAATTTAATTTAATTCAGAAATTTGACTTAAAATTACTATGCAAAAATCTCTAATTTTAAAAAGGCGGTGAAGTTGAACTTTAATTTGTTCTAATTCTTCAAGTTGTTGGGGATTGAAAGTATAAGGGTAATTACTACTAGCTTGTTGAACTATTTCTTTTACTCGATTATTATATTCAAGGGAAAATGTATTAACTAAACTATTTACTTGCGTAATACTATTCATATAAAACTAATAAACTATTTCGCTAAAATCTAAATACTATTCAAAAAGAATTCACAATTTCACAAAACTATTACTAGAAATTTAATAAAATATCTCTTAAATCAAATAAAAAGAAGTTTGATATCTCACAGTTACCACCAAATTGTTATCTGTGTAAACCTTCTACAATTTACAAAGACAATGGGATAAAATAATACTAAAACTAATAAATAAAACTAAATATAACTATAAGAATTATTAATCTCACGACAAAATTATCACAATACAAGGGTTTATACGTAGAAGGAATTATGTACGATCAATTATGAAAGAGGTGTATTTAACTATTAACAGTGGTATGAAAACTTTTTAATAGGAGCAAACGGTTTATCAATTATCAAAATGAATACAACAAACAGGGAACTCAAAGGATTTTATAATATTAACTTTATTACTTAATAAATCCTAATTAATTCGAAAACTAAGAAACTGACTAGAAAACTGAAGACTGAGTTAAGGAAATTCTTAGCCTTTATATACATTATTATTTTAACTGTTAAGCTGACTTGTAATCTGACTGTAAACTTCACTAGTAACTATGCTAATATCCTAACTAGTACCTTAACTATTAATTTAACTTGTACTTTGACTAAGATATTAACTCGTACTCTGGCTTGTACTCTAACTTTGTGTTCTAGTGTTACAAATTAACAAGAATTTAGGAATCTACTAATTTAAGTAATAATTTCTAATTTGTACTACAGACTATTAAATTGATCTACT